GGCTCTGAGCTGTCAGCACAGAGTCCGATGTGGGGCTCGAACGCACAGACCGTGACATCATGACCTGAGCTGAAGTTGGATGCTCACCTACTGAGCCACCCAGGTGCCCCTGGGTGCATCCATTTCTGAGCAGTTGAGGATACAGCGAGAGCCACACATACTCAGGAAAGCCATGCCTCCCGTAGGCCCAGCCCTGTTTTGCCCTCAAAGAACACATAAGCCATCTCCTCAGAAGGGATGAGTTGCTACCTTTGCTGGGGCTGATTTAGAGAGAGAGAAGAGAGAAAGAGGAAAAGGTGATAAAACACAGAGGGGTCAGTGCGGCCACAAGGGCAAGGGAACAATGTCAGTTAAAAGAAAGATGAGCAATGCGCCTTCCTTCGATCCCTCCTGAGACTTCTTGGGAGCGCTTCCCAGGGTCACAGTGGTGACTTGGCCTGAGCTCACGACTGAGCTGAGAACACACCGAACACTCATCCACATTAGGATTCTGAGAGAGCCATCCATAGACATGGCCCCAGTCAGCCTTCCCATGCCCTGAACTGGCCCATCTGTGAGGATGTGGAATGAGGGCCTCCTAGACCTGGGAGGACCTGATCCATTCACCAGTCTCCAGCCATGTTTCTCCTTAAAGACTCGGGGATGCTCCGCCAGTTTCCCTCAGAGCTCCCTCTCACTGGACTTGCACCACTGGGCAAACAGGCGTCCCATGACCACATGAAATTCCCTGTTTAGAAGGAAGCCCATCGTTGTTCCATCTTTGCCAACACAAAGAAACATCAGCATAACTTCGTGGAAAATCCACCGCAAACTTAGGGGTCGAAATGAACACTAGACAAAAGTATAAGCTATGATATTATACATACTCACGCCTTATAGATTGGCAAGCATGTTTCTACACACTATTATTTGATCACCTCAGCAACCCATTTTACAGATGAGGAAACGGAACCCCATTAAGGTTAATGATTTGCCCCAGGATGCACAGCTGGTGAGTTGTGCCCAAGATTCACCTTGATTCTGTAATTTTCTCTTTCTTTAGGCTAAACAATCCAAATACGGTTGAGGAGAGAGAAAAGGAACTAAACAAGTGGAATCAAATCCTACAAGTGGTGGGTGAGTTTGAAGGGGGTCTGCTAGGAACTGTTTTGAAACTCAGGTTGGGGCGCCTGGGTGGCGCAGTCGGTTAAGCGTCCGACTTCAGCCAGGTCACGATCTCGCGGTCCGTGAGTTTGAGCCCCGCGTCGGGCTCTGGGCTGATGGCTCGGAGCCTGGAGCCTGTTTCCGATTCTGTGTCTCCCTCTCTCTCTGCCCCTCCCCCGTTCATGCTCTGTCTCTCTCTGTCCCAAAAATAAATAAAAACGTTGAAAAAAAAAATTAAAAAAAAAAAAAGAAACTCAGGTTGACTTACTTCCCACACTTCTCCTTACCTACCCCCGAAGTTTTCTGACCAAGAACAGAACTTACTTTGTGCAATGGCCATGACTCCAGAGAGGGGGGTCATGATGAGGTTTTGAGATTGCTGGGGATTATGGTGGGACAGGCTGTGGATATTCGTCAAGGTGCTGACGGGGGGCAGACCACCTCCTGAGACTGAGATCTGCTGGAGAGAAAAAACAAAAACACCATGAGTGGAGTGGGATTGCAAAAAGCAGTGTCCAAATTGACATAACTCGGGGCACCTAGGGGCTCAGTCGGTTAAGCGACTGACTTTGGCTCAGGTCATGATCTCGCGGTCTATGGGTTTGAGCCCCGCATTGGGTTCTGTGCTGACAGAAAAAAAATTTTTTTTTTAATGACATGACTGAGCAATTCCTTGGCACAGCTCATTCATTCATTCATTCATTCAGTAAAAATTATTAAGCATACACTGAGGCACATTTCTAGATGCTGGAGATAGAGAAGTAAAATACCCAATAATCCCTTCCCTATGATGCTTCCAGTGGTTGACTATTTTTTTTTCTTTTAAGTAAAAAATGTTTTTAACATTTATTTATTTTTGAGAGACAGAGTGCAAGCAGGGGAAGGACAGAGAGAGGAGACACAGAATCCGAAGCAGGCTCCAGGCTCTGAGCTGTCAGCCCGATGTGGGGCTCGAACCCACAACCCATGAGATCATGACCTGAGCCAAAGTTGGAAGCTCAACTGATTGAGCCACCCAGGTGCCCCTCATTGGTTGACTATCTCTGAGTTCCTAGCCTGCCTCAGACATTCTTCTGCCCATGGGGTATTAGAGGACTGTCACTTGCTTAATTTGGAAGTATCCTCTGTTCTGCTCTGTACCTTGTATATTATTGGAGCTAAAGACACGTGGCTGCTAAAAATAATAACTGAAGAAATGCTCTGGGAGAGCAGACTGGGGACCAGGCAGAAGTGCAAGAAAGCTTTCACGGACTACAGGCTCCATTAAGTACCACTTGTACATTAACTTACAAACCTCATGATAGTTCCATGAGGCAGATACTTCTGCCATCCCTGTTTCCCTGATGAAAAAAACCAAGGCTCAGAGTAGATATGTATAATGCCTAAGATCCAATAACCCAGTAAATGGTATATCTGGTATTCAAACACAGGTCTGTCTGCCTCTAGAATTTGAGTTCTTTTAGAGAACTTCTTTTAGAGAGAAACTTTCCCCACCCCTGCAATTATTATCAAGGGTTGCAGGGGGATCAGACATCATTGGGCTTCTCTACCTTTTCCAAATCTCCACTATCCATTAAAAGATTTTTTTGGGGGGGGGCGCCTGGGTGGCACAGTCGGTTAAGCGTCCGACTTCAGCCAGGTCATGATCTCGCGGTCCGTGAGTTTGAGCCCCGCGTCGGGCTCTGGGCTGATGGCTCGGAGCCTGGAGCCTGTTTCCGATTCTGTGTCTCCCCCTCTCTCTGCCCCTCCCCCGTTCATGCTCTGTCTCTCTCTGTCCCAAAAATAAATTAAAAACGTTGAAAAAAAAATTAAAAAAAAAAAAGATTTTTTTTTTTTTTTGGTCAAGGAACTGATGTTGTAATGAGAAAGCTACTAAATAATAAGCCCTTGGCCCCAGGTGCCCCCATTCTGTTTCACCATTATATTTTAGTGACAGGTTAGTAAGAGAAAGCTACTGATTTTCACGTGTTTACTTCATACATCCTTTGGGGGGGGGGATCGAATCCTTTTATTTATTCCTAACAGTGTCTTTTCCTTATTGATTTTCTTCATTTCTCCAAACGTATAATGACATCACAAGCACATGTGCTGGGTCTCTTCCTTGCTAGTACTCATATGTGTACATGTCTACTGCATTGGTTAGAACTTTCTAAATAGTATCAAACAGTAACAGCTGTAATAGATGTGCTTGCTTTGATTCTGATGTTTTCAGAAATGCTTCCAGTGTTTCCCCATTAATTATAAGGAGCTATCACTTTCACCCCCACCCACACCCACACACACTTTTGGTGATGAAGCATTTTAATACTTACAGTTTTAAAATAATTTCTAAAATTATTAAGAAAGGGTGTCTCAGGCCACCTAGCTGGCTCTGTTGGTGGAGCACATGACTCTTGATCTCGGGGTTGTAAGTTCAAGCCCCACGTTGGGTGTAGAGATTACTTAAAAATAAAATCAGGAAGGAAGGAAGAAAAGGAGGGAGGGAGGGAGGAAGGAAGGAAGGTAGGAAGGAAGGGAGGGGGGAGGGAAGAAAGGAGGGAGGGAGAAAGGAAGGAAGAAAAGAAAGAAGGAAGGAAGGAAAATAGAGGTCTCCCATCATTGTGAACTGCTCCAGACATTCTTGATGGTATCAGGACCACTGGGAAACATTTTAGGGTTAGGATACAAACATTCAGTGTCTGAGTAACTCAGTTGCCCTTCCTCCCAGAGCTTGTCAAATTATAGGTCGCACACCAGCACCCAGGTAAGACACTATCTCCCACCTTGACCTGGTCAGCCACAGAGCTTCCAAGGTTAATTTGAAAAAGAAAGAAAGAAAAAAACCAAACAGGTTTGTTTGTGTTTTTAAAATGGGCATCGAGAAAGGAGTTGGGGGGGGTCACGTGATCAAGAAGGAATTCCGACCACATCAAACAAGAGAGAACCAGCCTGTTTGCTGGACTTGTTTTTCAAAATGTCAGAGTCATTAAAAAAAAAAAAAATCAGTAACCTGCCTTCAGACTTCCTTTGGGTAATGTAGTCCTTTGGAGAAAGTCAATGAAGTGACGGTAATCTCTCCTGTTTCAATGTTTGATTTTAATGGTGAAAGACAAACGCAGATGCCGACGATAAAAACAACTTAAATGTGCATGGCTTCAGAGTCTGTAATGTGCTTCCACTGACTGTCCTCAATAGGTATCGACACAGCTAGGGAGGGCATTATTATCACTGCCCCTGTGTTACAGATTAAGAGACTGATCCCCCGAAGAGTTGCAAGACTAACACTAGGTCCCTTGACTAGTGAGTGAGGAAGCCAGAATTCAAACTCAGTTTTACTAGAGTTCAAATACTTACTGTTTGGGGGTAACCCTGGTCAAGTGCCTTCCCACTAAAATGCAACCATTCTTTTCTATTTGTCACCAAGACTGAAGGAAGCCCGGGGCTGCCAAGGACGCAGCTGGGTTTGAATTACATGAATGCTGCCATTTGCAGAACTTTCACCTATGCTAAGTGCTTTACTGCCTACAGCCTAAGAGGTTAGTGTTATTGCCCCTACATTGTGGACAAGGAAACTGAAGCTGAAGAAGTAAAGAAATTTGCACAAGAAGTGGTGTTGGTATTGAAAGCAGGCCATTTGCTGCCAAGGGTTTTCACTGTTAGGCTATACTGCTTCAATGTGAAAGAATCCAGAATGTACTTTTTAATTATTATTATTATTATTTTTTTTAAGTAAACTCTACACCCAGTGTGGGGCTCAAACTCACGACCCTGAGATCAAAAGCCACATGCTCCACTGATGGAGCCAGCCAGGCACCCCAGTATGTGCTTTTGAAAAAAAAAAAAAAGGAGGGGGGCACCTGGGTGGCTCAGTAGGTTAAGTACCTGAATTCAGCTCAGGATCTCAACGTTCATGAGTTCGAGCCCCGCGTCTATGCTGACAGCTCGGAGCCTGGAGCCTGCTTCAGATTCTGTGTCTCCCTCTCCCTCTGCCCCTCCCCTCTCATGCTCTGTCTCTCTCTCAAAAATAAACAAACATTGAAAAAATTATCTATGAAAAAAACAACAACAAGGTTCAACATACACAAACTGCAACCCTAAATCTGGCCAGCTTTTTGTCAATGCATTTGGGTATGGGAGAGGGGACAGATAGTGCAAAAGAAAGCTCAAATGATCAGCAGCATTTCCCAAACTAATTACTGGGGTAAGATTTCCAATTCACGTCCCACTGACAGTTAGTACACAAGAGATTGTCACTCCTCACATGGGGCTTACCCAAACAACAGCGGAGCTATAAGCAGCCCTCACACCAACCCCATGACGCAGGCATTATTACCCCCCATTTTATAGATGAGGAAACTAAAGTTAAGCAACATCCATCTGATTGCTGAGCCCAAGGCTTACACACACTGGTTCTCTTGCCCATGTTATTTTTAACCATACTCCACTCTTGCCTTGGTGGACCACAATCTGTGATGCACCTGTTAGATATTAACAGAAAACAGATTCTTGAATTTGGGCATCCAGTAATAGTGACATAACATATGAACCAGGGTGTTGGAGACTAGTAAAAAGCTGGTCCCTGCAAACAAGCTTCCAGGTGTTTGCTAACGTTGAGGTGTGCTCTCTTGGTCAATCATCAATCCAATAATATAGTGGCCATTAGGGCACTGCTGAGCAGAACAGGAAGCAGAAAGTGTGTCTGCAGGCTGCCTTTGGAGCAGCCCCGGCTTGGGGTGAGGCCACTTGCCTCTTAGGAAAAAGAGCAGGAGGGTGCAAGGGAAACCCCAAGGACCTTCAAGCAATAGAAGCAGAGACTTGAAGGATTTCATGCACTGAGAAGTCAAGACTTCTTCCACAAGACCCTCTTCCCCAGGGCAGCTTGGGCAATCCTTACTCTTAACCTGTTTGGGTCTCAAAGTGACTCATGAAGACTTGTCTGTGCCTCTTACAAAGTAGCCACACAAACGGTTTTTCATGAAGAAAAGGCATAAGGGATGAGGGGAGGGAAAGGGGGCTACAAAATGCCTCCCCCAGGAGCACCTTTTCATTTTTGTTTGCACAGACCACTACCAGGGAAAGCAGCTCGCGTCCCCGAGACGAGAGTTGGCCGAGCCAGCACTCCTCTTGGAAACTACACTTTGTTTTTCCTCCAGGGAGCTGGGGACTCAATCACCTGTGACTCACCATTCCTGTGTTGCCTACACAGCACACACGTCAAGGTCTAAAATGGCATCTGCTCCCCGTCCCCTTCCCC